GGAAAACAAGGAAGTCGGTAGCAGTATTTGACACCAAGGGATTACGTCAGACTGGTTTCTGGATGGATTCTAGCTTGCTCTGAGGTGGAACTGGGGTGGTGCTGGGGTCAGTGCACTGCTGAGTTGAAACAAATAGGTACTTCTGAGAGACTGGGCTTGCTGCTTTGGACTGCACATGACATCAAGGCAGCTACACAGCTTGTGGCTGGGTCAGGACAAAGTCATCTCATGGCAAAAACTGTGCAGACTTGTCCACAGTGTTAAATATGAAAATATGAAGGCTAGATCCTAATTTCCTTTCTCTCTCCACCCCCTCATCCCCTCACTTTTACTTCACTCTAAGAGAGTAAGGAAGTCATAAAAGGGAAAGAAGCGTGTGCTTCTTTTAGAGCATTGCAAGAGTGGAAAGGGTCTGCTGTGAAACAGAGATGCTGTCCTGCTGGGAAGGCTCTTGAGTGAAATCCATCTCATATGACTTCTGTTTCCTGGGCTCACTTTTCATCAGTGAAAAAAACAGGCAGTTTAAGGGCACAGTTTGCAAATTCTAGTTTGCAAAATGTTTACCCACTTATTGTCAGTTACAAGTCAGCTACCCAAAATAATGAAAATGCTGTAAGACTCATGGGATTCAATGCGATAGTGCTGTCTTCTTCTACTTTTCATTCAGCCTTTGGAGTTTTCAGGTATGTTTTTGTCATGCTTTCCACTCTTACTCTTGATCTCAGGGCCTAGAAGAAAGATATTCTCCATAAATAAGATATTTTAGGGCATTGTAGTATTTTTGCTAAGAGTCAGATATGGGAATATGCCTCAGTTTCCCAACAGAGTATTAATAGCTATTACGGTATTGCAGCAGGATCTATTTGCTCTTGAACCCAAGACATGAGGTGCGACAGACTGACAGCAGTCTCAGCCGGACCCAGTGTTGCAAATACCTTCAAGGACAAAACCAGTTGCTCCCATTTCACAGTGGTTTGAAGGTATTTGTCCTATTGTTTGGACTGCTAATGTATCTTCTTTAGGCAGCATTCCCCCTTTAGATGAGTGCCAAAATGCTGTCAAGGCTGATGGCACTCAGCATTTGTTTCACCTCACATCAGGGATGAGCAATTTATTGTGAAAGTGTGAAAAAGCTCCTCTACTTTGCACTACAGTATAGAGTGGAGTTTAATGAGGAAATGCAGCAACTCGTATTGAGTAGGGATCTCAGGGCAAGAGATGAGGTTGCAACAGGGAATGTACCTTTTCAGCTGAAGGACTAATACTTTGACAGCCTGAGATCTGTCTCTGCACAGTTTAAATATGTTCTCCCTAGTATTTCAGCAGATCCAGAAATCTGCTGATCTGTCTGAGGTTGAAAGCTCCACACTAAATATAGTTCTTACCTTACCTATAGTCTTTCCTGTTGTGTTTTTTTTTTTGCTGCACTGAGCAGAGATTCCAAATGGGAAACAAACTTTTATTACCCACTATTCACATCTGACTGTTCAAAGAACTTGCTGCTATCCAGGACAAACCCGTTTTTCAAGTCTGAACCTGAATGTATGACTCGTTACACATCCGATATGGGGCTTTGGTCGCAGTCCGACCGTGGAGAGGCACCTCTCAAAGGGAAAAGGAGGTTGTGAAAAAAAGAAGAAAAAGACTCACAGTGAGAAAAGGCTCAGAGGCAAAGGAAGATAAAAGCATTATAAAACCAATGTAGCTGCTTGGGAAGTGTCAAAGGGGAGATGCTTTGCTCCAGGTTCACTACAGGTATACTGGCATTTTTTTTTCTGCCAAAATATGCCTCTCCCTCTCTGGTGTCTGGTGTGACAGACTGGGCAAAGTCAGCAAGTCATCACAGCTCCCCTGTCATGGTGCATGTGCTGCGTCAGAGGCCTCGACCCTGTGCTGCACCCAGGCTGAGTACTGATAACCCTCCTCCTCTGTAAGGAGGCACAGTGATGCATGGAGCTTTACAACTTCTTTACTGGGAAAAGCTTTTGAGCACTCTGTGGCACAAACAGGCATAGCTGAGCAACTACATAGTGGAGGGGTAATAGGAGCAATTTCACATGCAACCAATTAGTGGCAAGTTTTCCCATGCCATTGCTGTCCTTCATAAGCCTCTGCAATTATCTGCATGACCTTCATACTTACTGCAAATAAGTACAATTGCAAATGTAATCTGTGCCATAATTGTGGCTTTCCTCTTCTCCAAGACATATAAAAAACCACTGTGTGGCCAGGAAATCAGAAATCATCAACTCATACAGAAGATTTAACTAGAAAATCTGTCCCTGAATGGCAACTGCTTGTTTGCTTTTAATCTTAGATGATACATTTTTACTTGGCATATATTTAAGCACAGCTATGAAACATGTGGGTATTGTAGTAAATTCAGATACTCAGTTTATGTTCAGAAGACTTGTTTAGCACAATGGAAACCCACTAGGAAATGTATGTAACTTTGACATTATTTTGTATTTGCTGTCTTAGAAAAGGAGCATCTATCAGGTCTTAAGAAAATCTATTTTCACTTTTTCCAAAGAGATCAGTAAACATAAAAAATGCAGGTAGATTCTTCAAGGTTTAGGAAGAGCTGGGATCTAACTAGAGCTTGCATGTGGTTAACATTCAATAGGCATATTTAAAAACAAACAAACAAACCTAAAAAAAAATATCCCAGAAGTTCTGGCAAATTTATTGAACATCCACAGCCATAAAATTGTATGTGAAAACAGGTTTCTGATCTAATCCTATTTATCTTCAGCTGTTTAAATTTCCAAGACTGAATGAGAAACTCAGCTGTCCTGGTCTTACATCTCCTGAGGATGGAGTCCAGAGAAGGGTCCAGAGATGCTGTGATGCTCTCTGCCCTCAGACAGGCCTGGGGCTGTGTGTGACTCCAGGAGTCATTCCAGGGCAGCTCCCTACCTGCCCAAAATCCAAGAATACTGTGCAGAAAAGCACAGGAGAGAAGAAGAGGAGGTGAGCCTCTTGCATGTGAAAGGTCCTTGCACACCGGGATTTTTTGAGGGGTCATTGTGTGTGTGAACACTCCCCCTCACTTCCTGCATGAGTACAGCCCTAGCACGGTTCCCTTCAGACATCTCTGACATCTCGTCTGTGACATCTCACAGACAACAGTGCTACAGCTCAGGCCTTCTCAAATGAGTATCTACTCATCGTGAAGATTTATAACTGTGTAGTTTTGGGTACAAAATGCCGTTTCTGAACTCTGCTTATAATAAACTTAATTTACAGCAATGCGTGGGGTGATTGCACACTTATCTCTTCAAATCCATGTCATCTGTGATTCTCTTATTACCCTTCATGGCCCTTTTCATACAATTTTAAATGGTCCTTTAAACTTTTCTCATGATTCATCTGTGGCTATGGCATCCCTCCATAATGACACCCACATTTCTCAACTTACTTATTTGTTGAGTGCTTTAGATCTAAACCATACCACACAGTTGTTTCTCCCAGTCCCTAAAAAATCTGTATTTCATGAGCACAATTATTTTTAGGAACATTCTCAAGATTCAGGGTGGATATTGTGAAATAAGCTAGTAAGGCAGCCAATGTCCTAGAGTTAGAAAAAGCTTTTTGCTCCAGAAAGGAGCCCAGAAAGTCAAAGGCATATGTAGAACCACTCATAAAAATGGGACTGGTTGTGTGTATTTAAACATAATTAGTAAAATCAAATTGGGAGATTACAACACCGCACCTTCTTTACAAGCTTGTTCAGACAGCATCAGGAGGAAGTTGTTTTCAAGGTAGAATAGATTTTGTTTTGGTGGATCCTGCAAAGCCAGGCTCTAAGTTACACCTTTTTGTCACCATCTACAGGTGTGTTATATACTAACACTTTCCCTTTTTTTTCCAAATACAGTGAAATTGAAGAATGGAAATTGACAGTGAAGACTGAAATATGGACTTGGGCCAAAGGAGCTTCATAAATCAGTTCGGTCCAGCATGTCCTTAATCTCTCATGTTTAAATCCTTTGCGCTCACCTGCAAAATAAAGGTTCTTTTTTATTTATTTATTTTTTTTATGATGAACTCTTGGGAATGTGTGTCTGACTTTTATTCCTCCAAAAGTCTGCTATACGGGGCTACTCCAGAAAGTGGGCTGATAGAAAAACCAGAGCAATGATACCTTTACTCTCCCCTGGAGATTCCTTGTTTGAAGAGCACAAAAGAAAACAAACAAGACATAAAACAAAAATAATGAAACAGGTTTATTACCTTGTCTGCTGGGATGAATCTAGCTCCTGTTGCTGAGAGGTAACGTGCATCTGATGCCAGAACTCTGATGGCTGTGCTGGGGTTCACAACATTTTTGGAAACCTGCACAGCAGGATGCTTTGTGCACCAAAGTGCTCAGGTTCCTGGAGTCCTGATTTGGTGAGGAAAAGGAAAGGAGACACTGAGAGGTAGAAAATGGTGGCAGATTCCTAATCACTGCTCTGCCAGGAGAACAGAGATCAATCCCTTTACACCAGTGAAACGTCTGGAGAGGAAGGGTGAACACGACCAAATGAATTATGCCAACGATCAGTGGGCAGTAAGAGTAAACCCTGTAACTCCAAGGCATTAATAAATGCAGTAATTTCCACCTCTTAAAGTAGGTCAGTAACATATTTTTATGCTCTCTTCCTTATGAAACAACGACTTTTGCTGCATTACCTGTTTGCTTTTCAGGCGTAGGACAAGACTAACAGGGCCATACAAAAAGTACAAATCACAAAGACACAATAAAAGCCTGGAGACTCAGAGATAACACCTGGTAGTGCTTCCCCAATGCTTTGGTTAATATTTACCTGTGGTATAGGAACTATTTAAATAATTGTCGATGCCTTGGTCACAACTTTTGCTCCCAGCAGCAGAGCATGGTGTATTTTACATGGTTTGAAAGGTTTTCTGAAGACACAGGAACAACATTTTTATTGAGGTCAAACTCTTAGAAAAGCTTCTTCTGCAGTGCTTGTTTTTGTCTTAGTTTGCTGAAAATGGCGGGTGTAAGCAGCTGCATGAAGTACTCCATGTTCATCTTCAACTTCATATTCTGGGTAAGTTAGTGTTTAAATTGTTATTAGTGATGCATGAAATGTGTTCAACATTAGCTGAATGCTGTAATTGAAGGGGCCGTAGAGAAAATAGAGCATAAGTGGAACCAGAGCACAATTCTAAATCAGGGAGGGCAGAATATCTTTAACTTTTGTCCTCCTCTTTGTATTTTTCCTTCAACATAACTTTCCCTTCACATTCAGAAGTAGACCAGCCACGAGTCTGTCTCCCTGCCTGTATTGTGCTCCTCATGTCAAGGGACATCACTCATTTCAGTCAGAAGATAACAGAATCTCCACTTGTGATACATCCTTCTCTTGTTTAATTGACACAATCCTTAAAAAGCAACAGAAGACATGGAAATTTCATATCCTTCCTTATGGTTCTTTGCTTTATGTTCAGTGTCATAATTAATTTCTGGTGGTGGACAGTAACTGTTTGTAAAATGGGATGGGCTGGCATCACTGTCAATAGCTGTTTCAAGGCAGATAGAACACAGGGCAGCAGGCAGAATTCTGGGTGTCGTTTGAACTGGATTTGTCTATTAACCACATCTCAACTTGTTTGTAAGGATTTCAAATCCTGGAAGCTCTGGAAAGGTTTGAGTTAAAGAATATTTCTCTCATGGTTCAACCTCGCTGTCAGCTTTCCTGACAGAGATTTGTTAGGTTCACCAGAGGTTCACTGAAACCAGAAGTGGAACTACTGCCCACATTATGGGCTTTGCCTCAAGGGATTTTTTGCAAGTGAAAAGGTGATACCATTCTACAGGGACCACAAACAGTAGCCATGGAAAATTTGTGGCTAGCCAAAATAAGAAGAATTAGCAAAATTATTTGATTGCTTGTGAACCTCAGAATGAAATTCTTGACAGGCCAGTGATGGTTTGGACTGCCTCCCCCCTCTTCATTCTCCACCTCCATCAAGGCAAGATATGTGACATCTATCTATGTCAAAGTTTTTCTGCAACGGTACTCAAAATAGTCCATAAGTTTCTGACTTGAAATTCCTGCCACTCAGGAAGTTTTTCCTGTTCACATTCAACTGTATTTGCCACAAGCTAAAACACAGTCTTAGATTAGTATTAGAAAAGCTCTGAACTACTTCTAGAACAAACGTGAGTAATGCCCCACGCCTAAGCCTCCAGTGACAGCATGGGTTTCCTAGGAAAAAACACATGATGTGATCCCTGGGGGAGTCTCGAAAGGTCAGGACACAAGCAGGCATGAAACAAACTTTCTGAACCTATCTTTATGGCAGAGGTAGGAAAAACCTAATTTGCTGAGCATGTCACTGCTTTGATGGGGCAGAGGAGGACAGGAATGCAGATATAGGTATTTATTTTAAAGGGACGTGTTTAGGACTGTCAAGATGGGGAAAAACAGATGTGGTGCAAACAGGAATATAGGCTGATGGAGTATAATGAAGCTGAATTCTTTGATTCACATTCCTGTCTCTAATTCCTGGAAATCATTAAATTGCTGTAGTTAAGTACAGGTAACAGTAATATCTTTGCAACCACTGGTTCCATAGTTGCTCTCTCAGGTGCCCAAGGCAGTTGGCAAGTGGAAAATTAAACTGATAGTAGAAAATGCATGTGACTTTATCCTTAACTACGTAAGAGCAGTGGCTGCATATTTACCCAGTGTCCTTTCATTTTAAGCCTTTTGCAATCTGTCTGGGAGTGTCTCATCTTGGGGGAACTGGGAATGGTCTTTCTAGCCTTCTGATGCCTTTTTCTAAGCAGCTTTTACAGTATAGGACTAAGTGTGTAAGCCCTGGAGAAGTCTAAGCTAGCTCTGCAAAGTGGCTCTGGCTTTTTAAATGTTTTTTCCCTGGGAATCTACAGCCCCGTGAGCCCCATGCTGGGCTCCAGTGTGCCCATAGGATTTTGAATCCTCCCAGTTTGGTGAAAGAAAGTTGAACATGGGCTTTTGAAGGTCTGTGTGTTGGAGCTGGGTACCTATATGGAGCTTTTAACAGTCCTTAAATTAATCCTTAAGTCAGTTTTGTGTTTTGTGCATTGAACCTGATGAATAGGTCAGTTTTTTCCTATTTCCCTTTTTTAGAGCATGCAGGATATTCATTCTCACCTGCTGCCTTCCTCATTCTGTCACTCTGCTAGTCCACATCATGCAAAGGTGTAGAATTACCTTTTCTTTGCACTGATTATTGGTGTTTGATCCTAGTTTGAGGCAACCCAATTAGTGGCAGAGCAATACTTGCTCTGTTGTTGAGATCAGACTTCTGGTCCCATCTAAAACAAAAGTGGCCCCTTCACCATATCCCACATCTGAACATCTCCGTTACTGAAAGCAGCAACACAAACTTAGCAGTTATGTTGAGACATAGACCTCATTCTCTGTAGGACTTTCCCAGAACTGTTCATTTCAGGCATCTCAGGCAAATGGTTTCCTGAACTTGAACAACCTTGTAGAAAACTCCCCTTGATACCCTTAAACTTGTGGCTTGAAAAGTGTGTGCAGTGGAGGGAATTCTCTATAGGATTTCTATTCCCATGTCTGAGAAGTAAAGATTCCTGATATACTGCTGGTCCACAGTCACAGCAGGCTCATCTAGGTGATACTAATTTAACTAGGCTGTATTTCTTCATCACACCAAGAATGAAGGGCTAGAGAAGAGACAAACCTATTGAATTTGAGGGTTCTGGTTCTGATCAATTTATGAGACCATGATGAGGGAAAATGATGACAGCCATCCACTTTTGGGAAAATGGGTGAGAAACTTTTCAAATAAACTTTTTATTCCATTGGAAAATACTGTTTCATAAAAAATGAAATTTCCTGAAATGAAACTTTCTGTAGTCGAGTTTTAAGAAAACTTAATAATTAGGATGGAGTATTCCAGAAAACTTGAAATGTTCTACTTGGACTCTCTGGGAGCACACAATTTTGATTTGTTATTTCAAAACTTTTCTTTACGTGTTCTGCTACACCTTGTATATTATGAAAATAAACAGAAAAAAAAAAACCCAAACATTAAGATTTTACTGACCTGCAGCATTTTTGTCAGCCTAAACCAAACTTATTCTTATAATTAAAATATGTACACCTTCCTAAAAAATTGTATTTATAAAGGTTGTGTCTTTTTTTGAATGAAGGAAATAGATACTGTAGAATTCCCATCTGATTCCTAAGTTCCTGTACATACAGCTACATTTACTTTCACTTCTGCAGTGTATTTTTAGGGGAGGTCCTATTCAATAAATAGGGGGCCAAATTCGGTCTGGATTTGTAGCAATAGCTGCTTTAATGGAAATGTTTGGATTAGCAAGCCCCTGTTGTCTGCTGCACAGCCACATGGCTCACATGATGCTGCTGAGCAGGAATATAATATGGAGTCATATAATTCCATCCGTTTCTGGGCAGATTCCATGGGATTCAGAAGGTTTCAGTGGGGAGTTCTGGTTAAATATGATAACATGATGTAGCTGTCATCAATTGCACAACTTTCCTTTTCATGTTTAAAATGTACTTATAGGAGCTTTACATATACCAGGAAAATGTGTGGTACTCATGTCTGAGTGCTGGCTCTGTTCCATATTAAATAATCTGACAAAGTCATTATGGTCTTTGATGCTGAAAATTGTATGAAACCTTTTGCGGGAAAAGTATTTTTTAAGAAAAATTATCTAGAACATATAAAAATAACTCAATTTTAAAAGGTTAGGAGAAGTCCCTGTCTTCATGGGAAGCTCGTAACAATATTCAGAGCCATCTATAACCTAAGTATTAATGACATACAGAAAGATAGTTTTAAATCTAACTAGTCTCTGGTCCTCAGTGATCTCTCTTTCCTACCAGTTCTCTGAACAGGCACAATCCTTATACCTGATTACCCTCTTAATTACCTGTCCCAATACTTAGCAAAGAGGAATTCTGTGTAAGAATCATCACGGACAAGGTGAGGAAAAAAGTGACGGGTGCATTGTGGAATGGTACCTCAATGATCAATGAAACAGGAAGGCAACTAGTGATTAGGGAATGCATCAGGACCTGGGATTCATCTGCCATAACTTCAACATCTTGTAAGGGAAATAGTACAGGAGGAATATTCTAAGGTTTGGAGATGGCCACATATTGTTGCTATAGAAACATCAGAAAGATTTTACTTTGAACTTTTCCTGATAGTTTTATCATTGAAAATATATCTTTACATATGTGTCCTGATAATTCTAGAAACAACATTTATACAAACATCGCTTATCAAATCTCATGTGTTACCATTACACAAGAAATAGTGTTCTTTACAGCCATGATACGGACATACTACATCAATTTATAATTCTCTCTCATCTGACAGAATTTCTGTGTGCTTCCCAACCACATGTATAAGTTGTCAAGGAAATGTGGACTCCTCTGAGATAGAAACATCAGGGATTTGGTGAATAGCTGAAGATTTAACTACTCTTATGAAGTTTCCTGGATATGAATCAATATTCTATGCTCCAGCAATTCATATTTCTTTCACTTTGCCAAACAAATGATTTCAGATTTTTCAGCATCTGGTGCAATTTCTATGCTGAATGTTAATCTAAAATTGCAGATATTTCTAAATATTCTTTATTTTCCATTGCAGCTGTGTGGTTCCATTATTTTAGGAGTGTCAGTATGGATACGTGTTAGCAAAGATGCTCAGCAGGTAAGTGTTGGCAGTCATACCAGAACCATGTAAAATGTGGGAAGCTTCTGCAGATGCTTTCATTTCCCACCTTCACTTCCACAAATTTGCTATGTTTTCGTTAGGCTGGTTTGTGTGGGTAAAGTTTAATGCATTTTATGATGTTTGAGATTAAAAATAGTGGTTCAGGTAGTCAGATAAAGTGATTGACATCTCCTGGTGTTATTATGTAGGTTCTTGCAGATACACGCTGATTTATTCTGGGAATGTCTCTCTCTCTCCTCTAATGAAAACTAATGATGGTTTTGTTATTGATTTCAGTGTGAGAGAGAAAAATGGGGATCCATGAGGCTCCT